CTGTTGCTGGGGTTCTCTTATTACTAAGCAGAGTGGTCTGTGTGTTTTTGTTTTGAGTGTGAGACGTGTCCTAACTGTCTGCTCTTATAGCTTATAGCTCCACAGCGCGCACGCTGCACGTCTTAAAACTTGCTGTAATTAGTTTCTTGTAAGGGATTTGTATATATTTAACGAAAATTACACCTATTCTAGAAAACTTGACGTTGGTGATACATTACAAGTAGTTATCGTCGCGGCGTACATATGTACATACAGCTGGGTACATGACTTGTGTGGCTATGCGGATAGATATACATACATATATACATACATAACTAGTTACATACATATATGTTTATGTTTGTTTGTTTGTATGTATGTAGGATGTGTGTTGGGTGGATGTGTGTGGGATGTGTGTGGGATGTTACATGCACTCCCCGGAAACAAGTCTTTCCGTCCATCTACAAGGGGGGGGGTTTTTTCTTCCTCGCTGTGTCTATAGTGCGGTGCAGTATCTCTTTCGGTCCTACGTCGGGAGGGCGCGCGCGCGCGCCTCCGGCCGTACTGGTAGTGTACCGCATGGCGTAGTGTGGCGTGGCGCCGGACCATGGGTCTGGGTAAGCGGGAGCCGACGGTATGATGTCAGTGTTGGACATGGTGATGGGTGAGATAGAAGAAAGAAAGAAAGAAAGAAAAAATGGGGATATGGGGGAGAAGAAAAAAAAAGGGTTGCAGCGTGGATGCAGGCTGCAGGTACGGTAGGGCGCTGGGAAATGGGTGGGTGGGGCCGGCTGGCATGGGCAATAGCAATAGAAACACGCAAAATATTCGTCCAGGGAACTTTTTCTTGGTGATCCTCTGATTCTTCTTCTTCTCCAAGTCTCATGTCTGTTTCTAGTTTTGATTTGGTCGTAAAGTGACATGTACGAACTAGGATTTGGAATTCTCATACAGAGATTCAAAGCACACAACTATCCTTGTGGATATTGTACTTGGCATCGAGGCTGTATCACGTCATCTCCTGCTGCTCTTTCCGCGCTTCCAATCATTCCATGCAGTCGCCTTCACCAACGCCATTCGAGTCGTCAAACGGATTTTTAAACGCCATCTTGATCTCGAGAGGTTGTAGCTGTCCTACCATCTTCCGCAGACGAGTCTCGGCCAGCGAATCTTCGTCGATGTGCTTTTGTGGAGATTCAGATCGGCCCAGGACAGGCATGCATGTCACGCTGCCGACAGTGGTTACTGCGGTAGACTGTGACATGAGATTCTTCATTGACATTGGTAGTGCTTTTGGTCGTCGTGGGGCTGGGCTCTCGATGAAAGGATCCTCGTGAGGGATAGAGACAATGATAGAGCTTCTACTGGTATCTGGCGTCGTGGCAACAGCTAGAGGACAAGTTGGTTCGTCGATGGAGCAGATGGCGTTGCGACGGGCCAACTTGAGTGGGCTATCGGGGCTGCATGGTCTAGGCAATGAGTGCGGATGCAGTTGGGACATGTCCTTGTAACGACTCTCCCGCTCTTGCAACGAAGATTGTGGCGTGCTTGGATCTGCGCTAGACAATCCAGTTCTGGTCTCCCAGAATGTACCATCTCCTTCGCTGTCGTCATCCAGCACACCATCAAACAGCTTCGCCATCAGGGTCCGCTTGCGCATAGCAACACTCTTCCTTTTGTGTCTCTTCGCCATGTTCTGCGCACTGAACATGTCTCCTGGCAAACCCTTGGTATCACCATCATTCTTTTTCTCGTGTTTATCGTCAGGGCGAGGCTCCGCAGAACTAGACGCGTTAGGACTATCCTCTGGACTCGGCAAGCGCTCTCGAGATTTCGTAAAGAGAGACTTTGTGCCTTGTGTTCTGAGCGGTCCCACGCTCGTAATGGTTCGTGTAATAATGGGGCGTTGGTGCACTATGAGTGACTCTTCAGATGGCGAAGGCAGGCTAAGGTTGGCATCGTAGTCGATCCACGGTGCTACTTGCCGTATGTCGACGTTAGGTTTAGTACTGGCCGCTGTCTTTGTTGTGTGCATGGTATATGAACTGCTGGTATTGGAGCCTGCAGGGCTGGCATATCCACCTGCATCAGGGACTGACAAGTCGGCTTTGCTATGGGTGGCTGCTTGGCTGGATTGCGAGGAAACAGTCAACTTTTTACTCTTACCCAACGCCGCGACTTTCATTGGATCCATGTCGGGTGCACTCCTTGGCGAGAGAGCTTCCTCGTCTCCGATAACATGGATATGTGCTTCTTCGTCGAAGTGGAGTCGTTTGACCATGTCTTTACGCAATGCACTTGGAGGGGAGTCAATAACTAGCTGCTTCGGCGCTGCGAGAGGAGACGGTAATGGCATAACCGGAGATAAAGGCTTAGCAACAGGATGAAGACTAGGATTGTAAGATGTTGCCTTTGCTTCTTTTTGCTTGCCGTCGCGGTTGAGTTTGCGAAGGCGCTTGTATTCCGCATAATCGTCAACTTCGGTCGCAGTAGGCCGCGTAATGACCACTTCCATCGGTACTTGGTCGGTACGTTCGAATCTGACATCGAAGAGGATATCGCCCTCTTTCCACTGTCCGCCAGCTGTATCGGTGCTCTTTGCCTGCTTGATAGACCAGCCTCTGACGCTGTACAGACCTTCATACCTCACACCAGCCTTGGGACCCCATATGCTATTGATACTGTGACTGCGAAGTACCCGAACAGGATCTCTGCTTCTTGGAGTGGCCGATGTCAGTCGGAACTTGCCCTTGTCGTTTTGTGGAACGCGATACGTGAAACGCGATTCGCAGCTTGCTTCGAGTTCGCCCGTGTCTTTTAGCAACAGTGCATATGCCCCATGTTTATCATATGTCGTCCCACCGTCACATGCTTCGAGGCCGATGATGCCGGCATGGTGTGCGAACAAAGGGTTGATCCACCAACTGCAAAGTTGTCAATATGAATCCGGTAACGATGCGGCACCGCCTCACCTTCCAGCAACAAAGCCTAGACTACCTAGTCTGTGAGATCGCTTGGGGTGGATCTTTTCGGGGCATGTCGAGGCCCACCGCTTGAGTAATGCCTGTGATAGCATTAGTCAAGGCACCAAGCTGTTGTAACGGCCACTTGCCTCGCGAGAGTACTCGTGGATGCTAGCAATACCTTCAAGTCGACCGCCTCTCCCAAATAAGAACGGATGAATCTCACTGAAACGACCAAATTTGGCAGTCCAGATATCGATGATCCTATCGCAGTCATCGCACAGCCGGCCAGGCCATCGTGTCGCCACGCCAGCAATGTTCTGCACCGCTTTGTGAATACCGGTCGCACGCAAGTCCGAGACGGTGATGTTTCTTGCGTGTTGAAGAGCAATAAAGGTCTCGTGGAGGGTCAAGACGTCGTCAGGTCGTAGCACATCAGAGCCGTCACGGGCCACACGTATGTCCAGCTCATCACGAATCCACTGTGTAATTTGCTTGAGTCTAGGTCGAGACAGATCAGGGGTGATAGGAGTTGAGGGGTGAGTGGTAGACACAGTCGCCGGGTTTGACGTGAGTGATGCGCGGTCCGGCGCCATGTCGAGAATACTGAAGTGGTTTGGAAAAGTCAAAGGATAATTGGCGCACGCAACGAAAAGCTGAGGTCCATTGAGTTGGCAAGAAAGTGTTCGCTTACAAACTCAGCAACTACAATCGAATGCGCATTCTGTGTGGTAATTGTTACCCAAGGCACTTGCGCAAAGTCCAAAGCTCCTATCCTCCCGAGGGTCGGGGCTGCGCCTTACTTCTTGCTGTGTTTGCGCTTCTTTTTCTTGTGACTTCCTGTGTCTTTGGGTATCAGCACTTTTGCCTGATTTACCTCTTCAGCCTTATCGTGGTCACTGAAGCCACCCCATTCCTCATCCTCAGGGACTGCAACTTTGGTGACTTGCGCCGAGTCCAGGTCGCCTTCGCGAACAAATCCAGCCACGAAGAAACCCATTGTACCTTCTTCAGTACCCTTGTCGCAACGAATGCACGCCTCCAATATATCGTTCTTGACAGACTCGTCCAACTCATCATCAAACTTGTCGTCTTCCCAGATGCCTCTTCTATGCCACTTCTGCAGACCGTCCACTTGTTGATCCCTTTTGAGAATCTTCCAGCCCCGCTCTTTTGCAACTGTCGATGCCAACGCCTGAAAGACAACGCCTTCGTTTTCCTCGAAGTGAATTGAGCACGTAGAGTAGGTTATTTTATGTGCGCTCTCGAATCGCATAGCGTGAGTGAGGATATGGAGTTGGAAACCCGACAAGGCCGCCAGTCGTTCTGTCAACTTGCCATCCATCGGTGTCTCTTCAGGTGCTGAGTCGTCCATGTCCAGGTTGAGCATTGGCTGGGCATCGCTTTTTGCTGATTCGTCCCCTCTTTTCCGCTTCTTCCCTTTCTCGGGCTTTTGCAGTGTTGCTTGAGCGCTAGGCAACTCGGGAAGATGCATTTTGATCGCGTCGTCGCGTCCCACAATACCAGTACCAGAGCAACTTGGGTCAAGAAGTATAGCACCAACGTTGGCGTACTCGTCTGACCCGGGCTTAGCGGCGATGAAGTCGCTGTTGCCTTTTACATGGACAATGCTGTCCGCCGATGCCAACTTGACCATCTTTTGCAAGGTAAAAGTTCTGCCTTTGTCGCGCTCGAAAGCGATGACTTTTTGATCCTCGCCTTCCTGTTTTCTTTCCGACACAATGGCCGCCAGGTGAGTGGTTTTATTTCCTGGCGCCGCAGTGGCATCAATGACATCGCCATCGTCCGGGTTAGGGTTCAGTAAGTACGCTGGAAAACATGACGCTTTGTCCTGGAATATGATCTGGCCCTTTAGGTAGGCAGCCACTCTGCTGAGATCAATCCTAGAGGGCAGCGCGAGCAGGTTGGGGATATTGGGGTCTTCGTAGAAGACTTTTGAGTTCTTGGGCGCCGCAAGGACATCCTCTAGGCGTCCCGTCTTTGTATATCCAGAAAAGGTCGTTGCAAGCTGTTCCTGCAGTGTCGTCTTGATTGTATTTACGCGTACCCATCGGGGATGTCGGCTCTTTGGAACGTCGCCCTCTTCTTTGTCCAGCCTACCGTCATTCACAGCCTCTTTGAAAGCATCCAGAGTGGCATAGCCGTATCGTATACGAGATTTGGTCAGCTCGGCGCTCAAACGGGCTTTGTGTCGGGTGATGGCGAGCTTGAGGACATGGTTGGCTGGTGCCGCGACGCCATTCTTCGCGAGGAGTAGATCATGCGCAAGCAAGAGAGCAAGGATTGGAGTCAACTGACGTATATTAGCTATGGTTTCAAGGAATTCTTCCTACAAGTACCAACTTTCTTCTCTTCTGCAAGCAGCTTGCACTTGTCAATCACATCCTTCAGCACCACCGACCATTTCGACGTTTCGGCAACGAGAGCAAAGAGCTGTCCCGGCGTGCTCTTCAAATCTTTCTTGTTGTATATCCGGGACTTGAGCGACCCGCCGACATTGTCGGAATTGGCGAGAATGGCCGCGGCCTCGTAGTAGAGAGACATGGAAGCTGTCGCGCGGGATGAACGCGCCCAGGAACTTTTTTGGCGTTGAAGCCGAGCTCCGAGCTTTTTCCCCGCACACCTCCGCACCATTGGTCTACACCTAAATGTGCTAGTAACCAAAACTGGCTTTCCCAGCAACTCGAATCTCGCATCATAACATAGAGAACGTCTCTCACAGATATTCTTCTGCACTTCTTAACCGTTTGTAAGGTTGAGTAAACATTGAATTTTGTCGCTGGCTACACTTACTTGCTACACATCAACAGCTATAGCGTATGCAGAAATGTAGTAGTATGTTTAGCTTAGAAGAGAAGTGCCAAGGTACAGCATCAATCGAATAAAAAACAGCATATTTAGTAACTCATCTTCGTAAGTTGGATGTTCGCAGCCGTCACCATGTACAGGTGTATCTCCTTGTCGGCCTCCCCAATGCCAACTGACCCCTGCAGCATTTCTTCGGGGACTGCTCACATAATCCCAGAAATGGCTAGTAGTTGGGCGACCGAGTTCATAAAGATGTGGTAACGGTGGTAGGTAAAGCTTGCGATTATCTCTTACCAAGCCCCTTCTCAGCTTTAGGGGTCGGGCTACAGGAAATAGGACTTAAGTTACAAGATATAAGCTACTTCCTCTAACTCATATAAACTTGCAATCTTTGCTACACTTATATTTTCAATTCCATACTATGTCTGACCGTTCTGCCCTGAAGCTGCTGATTCCCTGGCCTGTTGTGGGCCTCTAGGTTTCCAAAGTAGTGAAGTAGCGTAGGCAATATATGGTAAGACCCTTAAGAAGTGGAAAGAGTTGATGACAGCATCTGCCGGAACTTTGGTGTCGATATCGAGCAAAGGTTCGGTACGGCACACCGGTTGCAATTCGCGTAGAGTGCCGCTGTTATGCCACTCTGCATTACTAAGATAGAAGAACAACCATTAATTGCTTGATATGAGTATAGCTATAATAATACTGTATATAATATAATGGTAGAGGCTAGAGGTATCTGGTAACCCGAACAGTATCATGAACAAGGCTCCTTCCAACATGCACATCCATAACGTCCAGTGCCTCCCGGACCACATGGGTCGCTCTGAGTGAAGACAATCACATGGTTATCGTTAGGAAAGTAATTGTAGAAATAGTTGTCTCTCGCGCATTGCGCTGGGGTCGCGGCCGTAGCAGCGCTGAGGCACTGTCGGGTTGTTAGCAGATGTCGGAACATATAGAAGGTGGTAATACGTACACAGATAGGTTTCCAATTAGTAAGGCCGCAGGTACCCGCGTTTTCAGGCACAGAGCAACAGAGGGAGGAAGCTAAGGGGATCGTAGCAGCCGTAACGAGTACTGTAAGGAGCAATGGGAGTGTCATTGTTAGTGTTGGTGGTAGTGTTGAAGGGGTAGAGATAGCGATTAGCTAGATCGTCTTCTATGAGGAGAGACTTGTATATTAAAAATTTAGGTGTAGATTAAGAGTTAGGCAAACCTGTCTTTTATTTTAGGTTACTAACAATGATTAACTATATACTTTCGCTAATTACGACCCTAAAATCACCGTGCCAAATCAATGCCCAATGTGATTAACAATTGTCCCCTGAATCTATGAAAAGTGTTCACGTAGCCAATTTAGTTACTAGAGTTGGTTTAGTGCTGACTCATCTAATAGCTACTGTGAAAGGATGACTGTTAGCGGCGGTGTGGCACTGGCAAAAAACTCTGACAATAGACTAGAGGAGGGCCGATATGAGGATAGAGCCGATGTGTTAGGGATAGGGGTACTAAAAAGGGGTGCAGCCTTAGCTTTTATTCTAGCTATTCTAGTTACACAGGCTACAATCATGCTTCTCGTGTTCCTTATGTAACGAGAGCCAACTAAAGAAAGGGATTCCTAATATCTTAGGATCTATCTAGCTGAGAACTACGAAGCTTCTTAGAACTAACAGGTGTTAATTTCTTCTTATGCAAGAACCCCTATTAGACAATTCCAATAAATAGCTAACGCTATAAGGAAAATAATAATAAGCGTAGCATCTTGATCTAATTTAGCACAAAACAGGTTTTCAAATTGTGATTATCTATGCGATAGTAAGCACATGCAAAACATCGCATGGCAACGGCACCTATGACTCCTGCTTTAGCAACTCACTGCCCTAATACTAAGGCCTAAGACCCTGCTTATGCATATAAATAAAAATCACACAAGTCTTTTCTTCAATATTGAAAGCAAAAATCCAGGCAGCAGTGGGGATACGGTAGTAGTTACCTACTTAACTACTAGTCCTTTGGAAAAAGATTTATATGTATGTATGTATTGCATTTAAGAGCCCTTTAAACCTTTCCCTAGGGCATAAAGGCAGGCAAACCCTAGACCTTATAGTAGTAGCGCGCTGCCTAGAACATCTATTTCTAAAGTAGAAATACTAGATTATGGAGATATATAATACACGTAGTTATTATTACAGAACCCTGTAGATAAAAGTATATTTTATGCCTCTAAGACTAGTCTAGGGTCTATCTCAACCACTCTATTCTAGGTAAACAATAATATATCTCTCACCGACCACTACACCAACTTCGAGTTTTCTGGAAACCGCTAGGAAAGCACGCTATCTAGGAGAACCGACCACGAGGAATCGACTAACAGCATTTTCAACACCTGCAGCTAAGGCGCTAGCGCGTAGTAGGGAGAAGAAGGAGGCCTTCCTTTGTTTTCTCACGCCTGGGAGAATTTTCTCATAGAGCTTAGGCTCTAATGCCAAGACTAGAGGGGCTAATAGGAACGCAGGAGCTTATTAAAGCTTAAATTTAGCAAGAAACATAAACATATTAAAATAATAAAAATAACAAAAAAAGACTAGCCTTAAAGGACCTTAGAGGCAAAAGCAAACGACTAATAGATAATAATCTAGAAATTGAGATGGCTGAGGAGGCCTCTACGCCTTGCTCTAACAGGCAACTAGAAGAACCGCCTAGGCCTACCTATACTAGGACAAGAAGCAATTTTTCTCCATTTATTAGAGCAGTGCCAAGATACCCTATAGTAGGGAAAACACCAAAGGCAACCTCTATTAAGGAGCCCTTAGAGATTGCTAGAAACCTAGTAATCTAAGCAGCTAACCTAGCTAAAAACAACTCTACTAGGCGAACTAGTTTACTAGACCTTGTAGAAGTCTTTAGAGACTTTATAGAGAATAGTAGAGTAAACAAGAAAAACTCTATAATTCTAGGAGACTAAATCTCCTCTCTATCTAACGTCTCTAAAGAACTAAGAGAGAAAGTTAGACGCCTTGAAAAACCAAATACCCCGCCTACCTAACCTTAAGCTTAGCCCCCTAGCTCCTACGCAATAGTAGCAGCTAGTAATTAAGAACAACCTTAGACATATATCTGTAACGGGCTGAACGCCCTTTGGATAGCTCCTCGATGGAATCTCGGTCAAGCAGCAGACGCCAGGTCTTACTCTGCAACCCGGCATCTGTGCGAGGCCTGAGCGGCGCCCAGACGACGCGCTCAGA